GAGGAGGAGGAGGAGGAGGAGAAGGAGCAGGAGGAGGAGGAGGGGGAAGAGGAGGAGGAGGAGGAGGAGGAGGAGGCAGAGCGGGAGGCGGAGGAGGCGGAGCGGGAGGCGGAGGAGGCCTTTCGATGATGGCGTAGGAGGAGGCTTGTGGGTGGACGCAGGCCCGCAAAAAATGCATCCGCGACACTGACACCCTCTCGAGCACCGGAAAAGGGCGATTTGCTGTTCGCCTTCGCAGGGTGGGGGTTCTGTTGATCTCCGATCTCTCTTCTGAGAAGGCCAGCCCTCCGCCGAGCAGGGCCGACGCCCCTTCTCCCGCCGATCTTGCCGGATCCTGCAGAGCCAGGGGCGCATTGACCCAGGTCAGGGTGCAGGATCCTTCAGGACCTTGCAGGATCCTGCGCAAGGCCTGACTGATCCGGGGTTGGATCGACCCAGGTCAGCAGGTCCCCGAGTCCAGCGTAGGTCCAAGACATCCGCGCGGGCCTCCGACATGTTATGTTCGTGTAGTGCCTTTCTTCAGAGACCCGAATCATCAGGGGTAGCTCGGGTCAGGGCTAACTCGGGTTCGTTTTTCGGGAATCAGAACCCGAGTTGCCCCGGACCCGAGTTACCCCGGATATCTCGGGCGTCCAGAGCCCCAAATCATCAGGGATAATTCGGGTCAGGGCTAATTCGGGTTTGTTCTTCGGGAATCCAAACCCGAGTTACCCCGGACCCGAGCTACCCCGGATAATTCGGGCGCCCAAGTTCTCCTCTAGAGGGGGCGAGGGGCGGAGGGGAAGGGAGGGCAGCGCGAGAGGGGGGGGATGCCCTGTGCAGCTTGCTCAAGGTCCGCTCTGCGGTCGGCGCGGCGCGCCGAGGTGCTGAAGTTTGAGTGCACCAAGTGCAAGGCGAGACGGAGGGGTGCTCGGGGGCGGAAAAGAGGGGGGTGATGACTAGGGGTGTGTGGATATCATGGCGGGGGCCATGATATTTCCTCAGATCTCATGGCGCCTTTTCTTATTTCATTACGTCCCTGGCCCCCCCGCTTGGCCGGGCACATGCCGCCGGTCATGATTTGCACCCCCCCCTCTTGGACACCCCCCTCTTGGCCGCTCCCGAGGTGCAGCAGGGGGTGCGAGGAGGCGGGCGAGGGAGAGAAGGGCGGGGGGCGGGGAAGAGGACGGTGAGGGAGAGGGGGGAAGCTACGTACAGCGAGCGGGAATTGGAAGAGGGAGGCCGAGAGGGAAGTTGGGAGGAGGACGGGGATGGCGGGGACGTAGACGGAGAGGAGCACGGGAAGACAGCGGCAGGGTGACCAGGAGGAAGAGGGGGAGGGGGAAGCTTGGCGTGCTCGCGTTATATCTGATACCCTTCCCCGTCCACCTCTCCGTTCCCATCTCGCTGCACTCTGTCCCAGAATACCTGGGAGCAACATCGGCAGCAGGAGGAGCGCGAGGGGCAGGAGGGCCAGGGCAAGGCGGAGGAGCGGAGACGAGGAAGCGGCAACGGCGAGGACGATCTCGGATCCAGAACAGTGGCCCCCGCCGGGGCGAGGGCGCTGGCCCTGAAACGTGATAGAAGCGCCGATCTTGAAATGTGGCGGCCGCTGCGCAGCGAGGAGCTTTGAGTTTCGAGGTGTCTGGGGATCTTCGCTGGTTCTTAGCTCAGCGCTGCCACTTCCGAGCAGTACCAAGTCAGACCAAGCACCTCTGGCCTGACAGAGCCCAGACCGCACCGATCTGATGAGGTCATCGAGCATCACATGTGTGGAATCCTGCGTGTGACATCGGCGGCGAGCGAGGGGAGGAAGTGAGAAGGGGCGGGCCTTCTCAGAAGGCTCGGGAGCCTCCTGGCCTTCGGAGAAGTTTCTTGAGCCTTCCCTGAGGACACAGAACATTCCTCAGGAGGCTGGAGGCCTTCTTAGAAGCCCCGCCGCCTTCTGAGAGGGCCTTCTCCCTCTCGGTTCCCCCCCCTCGCTCACTGGTAAATCTTGCAATTCCGTTGTAGAGGCCTTGTGCACACGGGTCCCCGACAAGGGGGCCCAGGGTTTTGGGGGACGGCTCCGGGCGCGTCCCTTAGGCCCATTGAGCTCGGATCCCCAGCGGACCTTTAGAGGTCTTTACCGTGATACGTTGCACGAGGGTTTGCGACGGGGCCTCAGGCTCCGAAATCGCCCAGATTTACCGTGATCCGAGCCTCTCGAATGCCCTCTCACGCATTTCGCGCCCCATGCGGATTTCGGTTGGGCCTCAGTGAAAGGGTGGCGCCAGGAAGGAGGAGGAGGAAGAGGAGGAGGAGGAGGAGGAGGAGGAGGAGGAGCAGCAGGAGGAGAATCGCGTGGACAGTGGAGGGAAAGTGAAGGGGCATAGAGGTGGCGAACAGCGAGCCAGGAAGAAGAGGAGGAGCAGATAGAGGAACGATGTTGAACGCCAGTCGACTTCTGGGCCCAGATAAATCCTGATAAATGCAGATCAATGCGGGCAAATGCAGATAAATCGAGGTAAATCCAGGTAAATTCAGGTACGTCCAGTTAAATCCAGATATCATCAGGGACAGTTGAAGCAACTTGCGGCCGCTCTAGCCCGAGTCGAAGGACGGCAGAAGTCGTTAAGCATTAAACGACTCCTGTGTCTGCGTTTGAGCCTCCTAAGGCCCTCTTGGAGCCCTCTTGGGCTATCGTGGAGCGTTCCGCTGGGCCTCCCAATGCCGTCTGAAGGGTTTGCCTTGGGGTAGTACTGGTAAGTCGGGCCTGTCTTTCTACAGGAGGAGGAATTTCCCAAAAAATAGTCGAAATATATTCAGGGGACGATTTTAAACTATTTTTTGAAAATTTGGGGGTCGTCTTCGAGTATGTTTTATTGTTGGTGCAAAATCCGCCTGTAGGGGGACATGCCCGACCTAACAGTACTGGTGATCTTGCGAGTTGTGGAGGAACCTGGCTGGGGGCTCTCTTGGGCCGTCTCGGGGCCGTCCTTGGGCCCATTTGGGCCCTTTTGGGCGTCCCACTCGACAGTGGTTCGGCCCTCTTCGGGCAGATTTGGAGCGCTTTGAAATTGTCGTGGGGCGATATTCGGTGTGGTCTTTTGGGCCGTCTTGGACGTTCATCAGCCCGACAAATCGAGTGCGCCACACTGTGCCTCTTGGGCCGTCTTGGGTGCGCCACAGACATTCTAAGAGGCATGTTGGGCAGTCATGCATGCCTCTTGGGCCGTTCTGGTGCGAGCCTGTCCCGAAGCCCTTCGTGGCCTCCTGGGCGGCCATCTTGGGCGTGCCTTTTGTGCGGCTCTAGCCGATCTGCCAGGGTCCCGACGGCAGAAAGCGAAGAATTGCGGGGGGGGCGTGTGGATGGCCAAAAAGTCGGAGGACCAAGAAGCGAGACCACACCCAGGGGAACCACTTCCAGCGAGGAGGTCCACGAGGTGCCCCCGAGCTGGCGATAAGGTGTATCGAGTGGGAATGGGGGATGACACCACCAGGGCGAGTCCCCTGCTGCTCGCGCGGGTGGTGGTGGTGGTGGTGGTGGTGGTGGTGGTGGTGGTGGTGGTGGTGGTGGTGGTGGTGGTGGTGGTGGTGGTGGTGGTGGTGGTGGTGGTGGTGGTGTCGCTGTGCCTTGTTTTTGTAGGCCGCGTGAAGTCTGACATCGGTTAAAATGGTTAACGCTGACTACGGCCAATCCCGAGGGAAACCAAGCCCTACGAGGAAGTTGAAGATGCAGATCAACGTCGGTCCTTGCCAGAGAAGTAAAAGACGCCGATGTAGATGATGATCAGCCGTCGTGAATCGTGGGAGGCCACGAAGTACAGCGCGCGTGATGATTGCGAAGGCCTCACGGCCGGTGCCGCCGACCCTGAAGGGAGACGACGACGACAATGGCGGCAGCGGCAACGACGACGACGCTGATGTGAGCCCGAGTCCTCAGGGATGCTTATGTATTGGGGTCTCTTCGGAAGTCTCCCGGGGGCCTCTGGGGAGGAATTTGGGGGTCTCTTGGGAGCCTCTGAGGGGTCCTCTCGGGTTCCTTTTTCAGGTGTCCTGGTGGGCCTCTTGTGGGCTTCCTGGGGCAACGAAGTGCAGCGCGTGTGGTGATTCAGCAGAGGCCGAGCATTTTCCTTGGGTGGAGGGCCAAGGGTGAACTCTGAAAGGCCGTTTCGATGGACGCTCGAGGCCTGAGTGTGCCAAAGGTGAATCACAAGACGGATTGGTTTTCGAGGTGCAAAAGCCCATACAGTCAACCCGCATGGCAAGGATGGGCAACATTCCCAAGGGTACCCCGCATTCTTGCCTCCTCGGCCCATCTTTGGCCACTTCCGTTGGCCGCGCCCCGCTCGAAAAGCTTCGGCGTGGCCTTCCAAGGCGCTTGCATCCTTATCGCACATTCTTGCTGTACGGGTTGACTGCATGGATTCCACCCTGAGCCCTCCACCCAAAGAAACTGCCAAGCAGAGGGGGGCGGCAGATCTGCACGGAGGGCCATGCGCTCAGCCGCCGGCCCCCGCGGGGGCTGGGCCACCCTGCGCCCGTGCTGGGACGGTTCGGGGGTCCCTCGGTCAAGCAGTGGCGAAGCGTCCTGGCGTGCGCACAGGCCTAACAAGCAATGTTCTAAGAACCTTTTTTGTTGTTTCCACGACGTGTTCTTAGAAGACTATCTTGTTTTATCACATCGGGCTTGTGTTCTAAGAACACGGTTTTCTTATTAGAACAGTTTTGGGTTCTAAGACAATGTCGTGGTAGGCCTATATAGGAATGCCAGGACGGCCGGTCCCTGCTCAACTCGTTGGGCCCTCTTTTGTGGCATCTCGAGCCATCGGTCGGCGGCGAGCGGGGGGGAGTGAGAAGGAGAAGGCCTTCTCGGAAGGCGGCGGGACGTCTCGAAAGCCCTCGCGCCTTCTGAGGAGTTGTTCGGCGTCTTCGGGGAAGGCGCAGGAAACTTCTCAGAAGGCCAGGGGACTTCCGAGCCTTCTGAGAAGGCCTTCTTCTTCTCATTTCCCCCCCCCCTTGCTCGCAACCGATTCATGCTATGTTGTGACCTCGGGGATGGGCAATCTTGGCGGCCCATTCGGGGTATCTTGAGGCCGTCTGTGAGCCCTAAGAGGTCATCCTTGGCAAGTCGGGCGGCATCGCGGGGGCATTTGAGAGGGTACCTTGGCGCTGTTTGGGGCGATCTTGTGATTCTGAATCAACGCATGATCATCATTATCATCATCCTCATCTTCGTTGTTCGTACCGTCTTTCTCCGCCATCTTCTGCTTGTGTTCCTCGTTATCCTCCCCCTATTCCCGCTCCCGTTGCCTTCTGCTTGTGTTCCTCGTTACCCCCCCCTAATCCCGCTCCCGTTGCCCTGACGCGCCCACCTCCCATTTCTCATTATGCCTCTTGCGCGATCGAGCATTCCCCCTCGTCTTTCTCCCAATCTGCACGCCCGTTGCGCTTCTCTCCGCTTAGCGACTGGCAATAGAAGGCAAAGCGCATGAAGCCCATCAAGCGCACGAAGCATTTCGAGTTGGGTACCGATTCCAAGAAGGGCAAGAACGAATACGGCGCCCCCTGTGATGACAGGAGGTGGAGGAGGGGGAGGAGTTGCCTTCAGACACTCTGGCGAGTTTTCTTGCAGGGAGTGGGGACGGGGGGGGCGTGGCGAGGCTGAAAAGGAAATCTGGACTTCGCGTAAGTCGGGACTCGGTTGCATTGTTTTTTTCTTGAGAGCTACTTTGAAGAATCGGAGGAGGGGGCACAGCGAAATGCCGTGCAAGCAAAGCTGCATGATTCTAAACGAAAGCGCCCTCAACGGAAGGAGGAGAACGCGGCGGAGGAGGATCAGGAAGCGGGCAGAGGCACCGGGAGAGAGCCGCAGGAGGCAGAGCGAAGGACGCTGACGAGGGGGTGCCCTGGGAGCGCCCTCTGCAGGCGGCTGTCCTGCCACACCGGCCGCCGCGCCCTCCTGGGTCGGAAGCCGGGCGAAGGTTGGCAAACCCGTGGCTGCTAAAACGGAGCTCCGGTAAGTTGTTCTTTCCGGGGAGCAGCCTGGTTACCGTTTGGTGCGCTCAGCTCTCTTCCGGGAATCTGTTTTGTCTTCTGGGAAGAGCGTTTTAGCATTAAATCGGGCCTGCCCCTCTACAGGAGGAACATTCAAACACAATATTCAACAAAATAGTCTGGGGACGAGTTTTCGAGCATCTGTTGGCCATCTTGAAGTCTGATTTGACTATTTTTCATTGTTCCTCCAAGATCCGCCTGTAGGGGGACATGCCCGACCCAAATTTAGCAGCGACGGATTTGCCAGCCCTCGCCCTGCTTCCGACTGGGGAGCGCCTCGGCACCCCATTCCCGTGTCGTTTTCACCGACCCCCCTCCCCATCCCCATCTCCATCCCCCTTCGAGACCCCCCCCCCACCAGAGTACCACTCCAGTTGGGGATACGCCCCTCGAGACCCAAAGGGGACGGCCCATATGATCCCCACCCAGGGAGGGGGGGGGCGACCGGTTGTTACTATGGCCCGTTGGGTGTTAGTGTGGCCCGTTGGGTGTTAGTGTGGCCCGTCGCGCGGCTGGATGGGAGTTACTGTGGCCCGCGCAGGCCGCTCAATGAAAAGTAATGTGTAAAGGTATCTCATGTTAGATCTGTAGACCTTATCTCAGGGCGGGGGGGGGGGGGGCAAACCGCCCGGTGGGGGCCCAGGCCACGCCGCTGGGGAGGGGGAGCGGCGCAACGATGCACACCACTGCCGACGCGTCGCCGATGGGGGCCTGCGGGGCCCACCCCGCCCAGGAGCATCCGCGGCTTCGCTCCGTGCAGCCCGCGCGTGTCCGGTGGTGCTCGGGGGCCGCGCTGCGCCGTCGAAGGAGCCCCGTGCCATCTCTGGCGCCCTGCCCGAGCAGGGACCTGGCCGAAGGCCTCCGAAGCCAGGGGGGAAAAAAAGCAGACGCGATGCATCGTCGATCCCCCAGAACATGTGGGAAACGATGGGAAGTGGGGGGGAAGACAAACAAAAACAGGAAAAACTGGAACCCTGGTATTGGCGTCTACTTATTTGCGTGTCCCAGGACCCCTTCAAGAAGGCCCCAGGCCTTCCGAACCTTCTGAGGAGGCCCGCCCCGTCCCCACTCATTCCCCCTCCGCAAACGAACGGCCCGCCATACCCAGTGCCGCGTTTCGTCGCTGCTGGAGCCCCGGGGTCGCTGCAGCCGAACGTGCTCTTCGGGTCTAGCACCTGGCACGCTTGGCGGTCGCTTCGGCTCGGTCCTTCGGCCCCTTCGGCTCGGCCCCCCGCTGGCGGGGAGCGCGAGCGGGCGGGCGGTGGGCGGATCGGGGTTTTGATAGGACTCCTGGGACGTTTCTCTTGCAGCGGGATGCTGTTGAGTACTGGGTGTTGCGTTCGAGACGGAGGCTGTTGAGTACTGGGTGTTGTGATGGAGACGGATGCTTCGGCGGCGTGCCCGGGGGGGAGGTGACAATGGGCGGGCCTTCTCAGAAGGCTCGGAAGTTCCCCGGCCTTCTGAGAAGTTTTCTAAGCCTTCCCCGTAGACGCAGAACACCTCTCAGAAGGCGCGTGGGCTTCCAAGAAGCCCCGCCGCCTTCTGAGAAGGCCTTCGCCTTCTCGCTTCCCCCCTCGCTCGCCGCCGAGTCATGCAGCCATGCAAGGGAGGACAGAGGCGAACAAATCGTGCACCCCTTACCTCGTCCTGCAGCAAGTCGAGGCTTGCTGCAGGTCGGCCGCTGAGCCTCTCCCCCTCCGAGCAGCTCTCCCCCTCCGAGCAGTGCCCGTGTCCCGGGGCCCGCTCGCTTCGTGCCAAGAGGCCGATGCCTTGCAGGAGGTTGGCCGTTGAGCTTCTCGCATTACGTTGCATCTTCGGGGGACCTCGTCTGTCCCCCAGATTGGTGTCTTCTCGTGCGCCTGGCGCGAGCTCGATGCGGACTCGACGCGGCTCTTTGCGCGGACCCAGCGTGGATTCGACACGGATTCGACGCGTTCGACATGGTTGTGACACGGCTGGTGGGCGCGAGAGGACAGCTGAGGTACAGTGGAGGCGCATGCCAAGAAGCACCTTGTTTGCCTCCAGGGTGCCCTGGGTTTCTTGGGTTTTGATGGTTTTGTTGTGGAAGGCGTGACGCTCCAACCCCAAACTTGTGGTGGAGTCCAAAACTTGGATAGCAGGGCGCCCGTGGAAAGGCCTGGCGAAGAACTCTGGAAGGACCTGGAGAGAACTTCCGAAGGTCCTTCTGGAGAGCTTCCGGGCACGCGTATTGCGAAACGCCTAGAAATGCCTGTCGGGACACGTTGCAGCCTCAAGCAAATAGCATGGAAACCGGAACGACCTCCGGGGCTACCCTGCGTCTCCGGCTTCTTAATCCGAAAGCCTCTTAGCTCTCTGCGAGCTATCCGGGAAAATCGAATGGACGTCCTGGGGTCTCAGGGTCGGGCTTCTCGTGGGAGGTCTCTTGTGGTCGAGCTCCCCTACTGTACCTCCCCCCCCCCTGGGTGGCGGGACGGCCTCCGACCGCGGACGCGCCAGCGCCGGCGCCTGGCGTGGGGACTCCGCAGGAAGGCGCGGGGACTCCCAGGGACCCCACAGGAGGCGTTCCCCAAAAAGGCCTTGACTTCGAGGATCGAAGGGGTTGCCATCTCTTCCTCGGCGGAAGGCGGCGGAAGGTCGGCGGAAGTAAAATGAGGCCGCCTCCGCGGGCGGAAGCTGGCGGAAGGCGGAGGCCGAAGTAAAAGATGCGCCCCAAAGAGATGAAAACGTTTTTTTGCTCAGGGTTTCCGAAATCCGCCATGTGTCGCACCGCCGTTTGTTCCGACGCGCGGCCTTGCGTCTTGGGGAGGGCGCCTCAGCCCATGGGACAAACGCAGCCTCGGACGCGGTGGGCTCGCCGTGGGGTTTGCCGCGGTGCTGGCGTCGTCTGCTTGGGGCGCGGGATGCTGGGTTTGCCATGGGTTTGCCGTGGTGTCGGCGTCGTCCACTTGGGCGCGTCGAGAACAAGCGGTGCGGGGACATATAGAGCAATCCGCGAATAGGATCACTTGGCGGCGAGCGAGGGGGGAGAGTGAGAAGGGGCAGGCCTTCTCAGAAGGATCGGAAGTCCCTCGGCCATCTGAGAAGTTGCCTAAGCCTTTCCCGAAGACACGAAAACCCTTTGAGAAGGCGCGAGGGTTTCTGAGAAGTCCCGGCGCCTTCTGAGAGGGCCTTCTCCTTCTCACTTCCCCCCCCTTCGCCGCCGAGCCTGGCGCCTCGAAGAAGTCGGGGCGCCCAGCGAGTCGCCGCTCGTTGGTCTCCGCCTTCCGGGAGAGCCGCCTCCTTCTCGTGCCATCCCCTCGCTCGCCGCCCGACCTCTCTGGCTCCGCCCACGGCCGCCAGGCTCCAAGTACCGCTGAGAGCCGCGGGCCCCCGCGCGCCCGCCCGCGCGCAGGGGCCTGGCCCCGCACGGTGCCCTGGCCTCGGCGCGCGCCTACGCGGGTGGCACGGCAGCGCTCCGCACGCGCGGGCGCGCGCGCGGAGGAGGAGGAGGAGGAGGAGGAGGAGGAGAAGGAGGCGGAGGAGGAGACGGAGGAGGAGGAGGAGGAGGAGGAGGAGGAGGAGGAAGAGGAGGAGGAGCGCTGAGGAGGAGGAGGAGGGAGGAGGCGGAGGAGGAGGTAGGAGGAGGCGGCGAGAGGAGGAGTGAGGCGGAGGAGGAGGAAGGGGAGGAGGCGGAGGAGGGAGGAGGAGGAGGAGGCGCGAAGGAGGAGGAGTGGAAGGAGGAGGCGCAGAGGTGAGGGAGGATGGAAGGAGGAAGGCGGAGGAGGAGGGGGAGGAGGAGGATGAGGAGGAGGCGGACGGGAGGAGGAGCGGAGGAGGAGGAGAGAAGGAGGCGGAGGAGGAAGGAAGGAGGCGGAGGTGAGAGAGGAGAGGGGAGGAGGAGGAGCAGGAGGAGCAGGGCGACCAGAGGGGGGTCGAGGGAGCAGGAGGGATGAGGAGGAGTGGAGGGGGTAGGGGCGGAGGCAGGAGAAGCAGGGAGGGATAGGAGGAAGGAGACAGGAGG